GAGCTTTGAATTTTGTAGTTGGTGAGAGGAACTCTCAGACGCAGCAGAGAGAGGGAGTGGTTTTGGACATGGGACACACCTCTGGACCTTTGACCCACAGCCAGCAGGTACCAAGGCTACCCTTGCCTCGAAGTTTATGTCCCCCAGCCAGCTTTGAATTTTGGAGTTAGTTAGAGGACTTTGGAGAAGATGTAGAGAGAGGGAATGGTTTTGGACACGGCACACAGCTCTGGACCTTTGACCCACGCCTGGCAGGTACAAGGCTACCTGTCAGAGGCCTGGCTAACTTGCAAGGCAAAATTAATACTACATTTGTAAAACCAGCAGAACTGATTCCATCTTGGCTAGAACCATCTCGAACGGAAACCTAAATGAGATAATGTGATTGCCCCTGTAGGTGTGTTTCAGAAACCTAAGTGAGATAGTGTGATTATCCCTGCAGGTGTGTTTTTTGAAAACCTATATAAGCCTTTTAGAGATAATAAAAGAAGAGAGGGATTTGTGATCAACGAGGAGGCTCTCTGCATCTTCATTTAATCCTCGTCCCTTCTCTCGGCAGAACTGTTTCGATATATCGGGGCAGAAACTCGATAATTGGTGCCCGAAATTAGGGAACCTGAGAACGAAGGAAAAGGCACGAGGAAAACCGTGGACGTGTAAGGTAGGAACTTACTGAAATTGCCTTCGGTGAAAGTAAAATCTGAGAAGAAGAGCAGAGATGGGAATTAATCAGGTAAAACATTGTATACTGAAAATGCTGAAAACCCGCGGTGTAAAATTAAATCCCCAACAACTTTATACTTTCAGCTTGTGGAGATTGGTTCTAGATACCTTAGATTCTGGGAATGAGTTAGATAAGTTGAAAGATGAAGTTGAAAGTAATCAGATATTAGAAACAGAAGAGTCTAAAATATGGTTAAGAATAAGAAAGAAAAGGTTTTAACACAGAAGTATAAAGAAAGTTTGGAAATAAAAAAGAAAAGTGTTATAACTCACAAATGAGGCCTCAAAATGTTTATGTTAATTGCTTTGTCTTGTTTTCTGTCTAAACTCATTGTTACTGTTTCCATGTTCTTTGTCTTTTTGTCTTATGTTTAATGTAACAATACTTGAGTGCTCATACAATTTAAAAGCTTCAGTGAAGAGTAAGAATTGAGAGAGATAAATTT